TCTTTACCTCAAGTAAACAATGTGAGTTCAATGATAAAGAAATTAATTGACTACGGAAAGTAAAACTCCCGTATTACTTCTGACAAATCATGCAGCGCTAGAAGTGAAAATGTCTATGGCAGCTGCTGTATTGATCTCTTCAAAGTTGGTAAGCACTTGAGCCTAGTTATTAAAAGATATATTCACTCTACATTATGGACTGAAGGGGTTGAAAACAAAGTCAAAATACTCAGATGTTTTTGTGTTTTCAGGACAGTGTGTGAAAGATGACATCGCTTAATCTTCAGTGTCCTTTGACATGAGACATCGCTATATGTCAGGTGGCTGTGTGTTATAAAAGGGCAAGACACAGCATGTTTCTGTGGAGGACAGTTTTGTCAGAAAAAGATACTAGTGTTGGCAAGTCTCTGGGGTGAAATAAGGAGTTCTTCAGAGTATCTTGGCTTTTGCTAGAGGTTTGATTGTTTGCAAGCATAGAAGTGCTGAAACCACAGGTGTATTTTATGTCATGTTGGGTCACAGTGGCTCACCAGAGTGAAGGATCAGATGGAAAATGCCAGTTTGCCATAGAAAGGCCAGAGAGAATGTGAATGATTTTTAACATGCACAAGAAGTTGCTGTGAGTTGTATCTTCTAGAAATCCATGGGAAAGATGGAACACACAAACCAAAGCACTGAAAGTGCCATAAAGAAATTATTCCTGCCCCTAGAAGAAAGTATGAAATGAAATGCCTTTATTGCTTAACACTAACAAAGTCACACTGAGCTGGCTTTTCCATTCCTTTTCTCATTTCAAATACAGTGTCCAAAACAAGAAAAGGCTGCGGCAGCTTGATCATAATTTACACATTAAAACCATCCTGTCTTGCATTGAGGGTAGAGGGGAAGGAACACAGCTGCTGGCTTCAGCATGTATAGGATGGCACTTGCTATAGGACATGCATGCTGTCATAAAGAGGTTATCTTCCTGGACTGATGTTTGCTGCCAAGTGACCTCTGTCTAGTGTTGGATGAAGAGGAAGCATTATTCAGTCCTGGTGAACTTTGGCTGGTGATCTGAGCTGTATTACCACAGTTGAGGCTTTCAGCCTGAGCTGTAGCCATTGCTAGTCCTTGTCAAAGACTCTCTAGTTAGAAAGGCTTATACACAGCTGATTCTGTTCAGGCAGTTCTTCAGTGTGTGTTTGCACACACACACATAATAACAACATCAACAGTGTCTTTCTGTGCCCTTCACATCTGGTTCTTATGAGTATCAAAGATGAAATTACATTTTTTTTTTTTATATACTTCCTGCTGGCTTTACACTGATGAGATGCCATCAGTTTTAATGGAAAAGACCACCAGTGGGAATTCTTGCCTCAAAATAGTTTTCTTCTCCATCTGATAATGGAAGGAATAATACATTCTTTGATCTTTGGTTGGCAAACTTGGAAATTGGAAAGGAAGATGGTTGTACTGTAATAGCTTTACTCTAATGATGTGTGTGGTCAGTGGTTTCTAGGCATTTAAATAAAGGTGGGTGTGCTGTGGGATGTGATGAGGCAGGAGCCGAAATGCAGGGAGCATCAGTTACAATAATAACCTTGTAACTCAGAGCTTGGAGAGGAGTGCCCTGTAAATCCATCTTTTACTATTACTGTCTCTACAATTACACAAATGTTAATATCTAAGTTACTAAATTGGCCAGCATTGGATGAGTTACTATGAAATGGGTAAAATGTAGATTATAGTTAATCGTGAAAAAAACTTTGTTCTTAACAGGATGCTGCCTTATTTTGTGTCAAATATTAGAGGTGTCTCGTCAGCCCCTGTTTCCCTGTTCTGTATTTAGCAGGGGACCATAAAGCGATGAAATGTTAGACATCTGTCATCACTAAGAGCTTCAGTAATGGTACTCTTGTGAAATGCTTGTATCACAACTAGGGGGAAAAAAGGTCATTTGTTTAAAAAAAAAAACCCAAAAAATAACATTAGTAGGTGTTGATGTTTCTATGTAAGACACAGTAGAGGAGAGACACTAAACCAAAGGACTGTTGTTTATTCTCTTTCCTGTGAACTCCTTGTTATAATGTTTAAGCATTTTATAAATATTTATGAATGTATCATCAAAGGAAAATGAAATTTATATAATGGAGTTGCAAAGTGGTGTTAAAGGAAGCAACTTTCCAAAGGTTCCTACACACTTACATTTTGACAGAACTGGGACAGTAAATCAGACCGTTACATCCCTTTTTAGTAAACAAGCCATCATCCCATCTTTCTTATTAGTTACTTTTACCTTTGCTGCTTTCAGAGTAATTCACTGCTTTTCTTCGTAAGACACAAATACTTTATTTGTAATTAAATAACTTTCTTTTTTTTTTTTTTTTTGTTACTTCACACTTAATCAGGCCACACATGGATTGGTGGCCAACAGGGGGTTGCAGTTAGTGGCAGGGAAGGAACAGAGACAACAAACTCAATTTACACTCCTATGTGACAACTAGCTCTGACGTTGCTTGCTCCTCAGCTGCCAGAGGTGTCCCAAGCATCACTCGGGAGTCACCCATGCTGAGAAGCTGATTCTCTGTATGCTGGGGGTGAAGTGAGCTTAGCAGCGCTAACTGCCTGGGAAGACCCCTGGTAGTGCTTCTTCAGTGGGATGTAGCTGCCTTTGCTTTCTTCTCCTCTCCCATTCCTCACGCTGTTGTGGCAGGGCAGCTCACGTGCTGTCAACATCTTCCTCTTGCACACAAGCCTGTAATGAAACAATTCTCTACATTTATCGTTGTGCTCTAACAAGAGGTGCTTATTTCTGCATGCTGCAAGTGATACCAGTCTTCTCCAAACAGCAGCTGGGGGGACAAAATGTTGCAGTGGTGGCAGCATCTCTCTGGTGGCTGGGAATTGAAAACTGTGTTTGGACAGTGACAAAGTGCATGAGCAAAAGGCTAATTCCCTGTTCCTTAGGGTTTAAAGGCTTTGTGCAGATCTCTTTGAAGTCAATGAAGGACTTCTGTTACTGCAATGGGCTTCAAATCTAACTCCAAATTCTCATTTAATTTATAGTGTGTGTTAGTCTTCTGTTAGCTGGCTTGTGAATATGAAATGGGGCTGAGCAGACCTTTGGAGAATGTATTTAATGTGCAAATTTGCACACTGATCTTGATCTTTTCAAATCAATATGACTGTGGATGTATGTCAAAATACCTCCCAGTCTGTTGAAAGTACATTCCTCTTTGGTCTTGTATGTGCTGTTTGTATGTATTTAGTTGGCCCTATGAGCTCTGGGGTTTTCTTTTAAGTTATTCTACAGTACTTTAGGGAACTCAACTCTCATCACTAATAAAATATAGCGAAACACTGGTAGGTCTTGCCTTGTTAACTGTTCTAGCTGTTGTGTTTCCCAATGTTCAAAAAATATAAAGCTTTATAAGATATAGCATATTCCCAGTGCAAAGAGTGAATATTTATAGGCAAAGAATAACACTGCCCATTTTGAAATGTCAGTGCTATGAAATTGCTTTTTTGGCAGGAGCGATTAAGCCACACAGACTTCCAATAATGTTTTGTAAGCTTTTTTCTTAATTATGCTTAATTTTGGTCCCTTAGTTTAACAAAACCTATGAAGCTTGCAGCAAAATATTTTTATTATGAAAAATTTTGTTTTCATGGAATACAAATTCTGTATTCCTTGTGGGTATGATTTTTTTAAATGTGTTTAAATATGGAAATCTCTCTTTGTGTTGCATTTATTAAGGCATATACAAAATAAAAATAGCTGATGCTGTATGTTTAATACAGAATTTTGAAGAAATTAGTGTGGAAAGTGCATGCAACTACTTTTTTTTTTCTCCAAATGCCTTCAGTAAAATGCACATGAAGTTACAAGACATCAAGCAAGAGACATGAGATTCCGTCTCAAGCAGTTACTGCTGCAAGAGACAAATAAGAAGCAATTCTGCTTATACATACTTTTTCTTAAATGCATCGTTCTGATAACAGCAATAAATAGAATAATCTGCACAATTGTATTTATGTGGTGTTGATCTGTGTTTTCTAGAGAAAATCCCTTTTTCCAGATAACATATTCTTCCATTCAGCAGTAAGTGGAAGAAACCCTCTTAAACCGCTGCACAGATTCAGGGGAATGTTTCTGCACAGGCTTGATATGGAATTTTGGTATGGACCTCTCAGTGAATTTGATTTTTAGTGAACAAAATGAAGTAAGGGCACTAAACCCACGTTGCTTTACTGTGCAGATTAGGTAACAGGATATTTACTCAAGAGAGTTAGACAGAAAAGCTAAGAGATGATATGATTAAACTAAGGTAGATTTATTACCAGATGTTTTCAACAGCGTATTTTCTTAAATTGGTGTAATAATGTCTGTGCCCTGCTCAAATACAGAGTTTTGAACAGCTCTGAGCTATTCCTGGCTTAATACTGAAGTAGAAACAGCAAAAGTGCTAGATAAACAGGATCATTTTGGAAAAAAACATTCAAACAGTTTAAAATCCTCTGCCATGGTCATGCTTTTCTGACCCCCTGCAGCCTTGCATTATCAAACTGAGAATGTCTCAGTCTCCCTAGTATTAATGTTTGAAATATGATACAAATAAATCATCTGAATAAAGTAGAAAGAAAAAAAAGTGGTTAGCATTGCAGCTGCCTGGGGCCTGTTCCACTGGCACTTAGACTCCTAATATGAGCTTAGCGGTAGAGTTATGGGCTCTGAAGCTGGGCTTTACATGGGAGAGAGTGAAATCCCTTGGAACTCAAGAGACTGAACATTTTAATATCTAGGCTTGAATGATGAAGTCAGCATCTGGAAAAAAAATATCTGCAAAGCAGTATGAAAACTGCTTTCTGGAGGATGATGGAGTAACTGGGAAGCTTGCTGTGGGGGTGGGATGAGGTGGTGTTTTTTTGCAGATAAAGTTCAGTTTCCTGGGCTGGCAGAAAGCAATGCTGGAGTCTGAAGTCTGTGTTTCACTTGTCTTTGCTCTTCTTTTCAGGTTACATATTTGGGTAAGGTTTCCACAACAGGGATGCAGTTTTTGTCAGGCTGCACAGAGAAACCAGTCATTGAATTATGGAAGAAGCACACACTCCCCAGGGAGGATATTTACCCAGCTAATGCCCTTCTGGAAATTCGCCCTTTCCAAGTCTGGCTGCATCATCTGGACCTCAAAGGTGAGGCGACAGTCCACATGGATACCTTTCAGGTAGCACGTATAGCCTACTGCACTGCTGACCACAACATCAGCCCAAACATCTTTGCTTGGGTCTATCGGGAGATCAACGATGACTTGTCCTACCAGATGGACTGCCATGCTGTAGAGTGTGAGAGCAAGCTGGAGGCCAAGAAGCTGGCCCATGCCATGATGGAGGCCTTTAAGAAAACTTTTCACAGCATGAAAAGTGATGGCCGGATCCACAGGAACAGCTCGTCAGAGGAAGTGTCTCATGAATTTGAGTCTGATGATGGCTGACTGAACTCAATCACGGTTCAGCAAAGGCAGAAATGACCTAGGGATTGCGAGCTGATAGATGAATAAGTAACAATTGAAACTGGGGAAAGAAAGGACTGCCAAACACTTCTCTGACCAGATTTTTAAATCAAAAGAGCAATTCAGTACCTACAGATATGCATCATTAAAGTAGTTACTTTACATTGAAATCTGCTGCTGTTGTAAAAGTGAGAAAAAAGCTCTCCCCCCATTTCTCTCACCCACCCATCACTGTTCCTTTCTTATCTCTGTAGTTCAGGTGCATACTAAGAAGTGGAGTCATTCCTGTTTGTCTTATAAGACTGGTCAGGCACTTTTACTAGTTGCTTCTCTGGCATTCCAAGCTCGGGTCTGATGATGGTGTACAAGAGCAAGTAGACCTGGAAAACGCTAATGGCTCCTGAAGAATCTTTCTTCATGATACATCGCAAAAATTCTTAGAACATACATAGGCTGAGACAGCCATACATAGCCTTTTAGACTAATGACCTGGCATTCTGCAGTTAATTCACATTTCACAGATAAAAATTGATGCTTGTATGTACTCGTTATATCATATGCTATCCTTTATTTTATTCATTGTACCTATTTTCTTAATATACCTGCTGCCACATCTTTCACCCAACACCAGTAGTTGCAGTTTCAGACTATATACTGCAGGATACCAAAAAGGGGTGGGCAAAAATACTCCACAATGGCTATAGGTGCAGCGAGCCAGCACCACTATCTGTGCATTTTCCAACCCTGCTGTGCTCCGCAGGAGGGGAGGGACCACTGGTAAGAGTTGAGGGACGCTTGGGTCTGTCAGTGTTTGAACTGTGACTTCTCATCAACCTCAGGTCTGAAGTGATATGAGCATGGTAGACTCAACTCTGTTACCCGTCTCTGCGTTGCTGGTCGAGTGGCCCTGGTGGGATGGAGCTGGTAGTGCTTCATCGCACATCCAGGGCTGTGTTATTGTAGAGATCAAAGGAAATGGTCCCTTAGGAGTCAGGTTTGAACATCTGTTCTGGTTGAGAAGCTCATGTTAAGATTCCCATATCTTTCCTTGTTTGCAGATATACAGTCATGCCTTTCTTAAATGCAGATGTTTAATAAAACTCAAATAAAAGGAAAAACTTGTTTCACTTGATATTTTTTAAGGCCAAGAGCAGATCAATAGTTTGCAGGTAATTCTTCTCCTTTGTATGATTTTGTTTGTAATTATGGTAATGTTAGGGGCACTAGGGCACCTTACAGAAGCCTTAAAAGAAAGCTAATCAAAGCAGATAGCTCTATGTTTGTGTTTTTGTGGGTCTATAGGTTTGTATGTGAGAGTGTATGTGTGAGTCCATGTTAAAGTGTGTAGATTGAGCATAAAAACACATTGAAGGCCCACACCTCTTGAAAATACGCTTGTTGCTTTACAATGTATGTAAACGGTTCTCCAGCATAAATACATTCATACTTTAATAAAAAAGAAAATGTCTTGAGATAAAGTTTGAGATTTTTAAACTGTCTGTCCAATGCAAACTCTGTGGTTTTGTTTTTTTTGTGTGGGTTCTGTGCTAATTTCATTTAGTGGAATGAAAGTATTACATTATTCCATTTAGAATGACATCAATCTTCATGAGAATTACCTTTAATATTTTTAAATTATTTTCCTTTAAATATTCAGGTAAATTATTACTGTGAGATTTTTATTTTTTTTAACTTGGCTGTGTGTGGACATGGTTTATAATTTCTGTTTTGCAGGAGGTGGCAGAGATGCCACTCCATGCACACGCCTGGCCAGTTGGAATGAGGTCTGCTGAGTAGGAGCAGTATCTTGCCCTGCTTACAGGAATGGCAGAGTGGCTCAGGTGCAGCATTAGATGGTGGGATGGGGAATGAAACACCAGGCTGGCATCTTTCAGAACTGCTTCTCTCTGAATCTTTGGATGACCCAGTGTTTGCAAATACGGCTCTAAAAATGATTTAGTTTTTTCTTCCCACAATGCTCAATCAGAAGTGGAGGGTCACATATGGGCTATATACTGATTAGAAAAAAACAAACCAGAATCCTTCCATGTATGTATCTGTCCTCTTGAACTAAGGCAAAATCAGGCAAAACCTTCAACTTTTGCTCAGATCTGTAATAATGTGTTACTTTACTTGCTTGAAAGCTTTGCCACTAAAGCTGCTGTGAATCAGCATGTGAAATTCCTGTTTCATCCACTCAGCCAGATGCTCCTGCTGACAAAGGAGAGTTTGACTGTGAGTCCCAGCTCTTAACTGAGGGCTGCTCAAGTGTGGGAGTGGGAGAAGGAAGATACCAGGAGTAGAGATGCCTCCTGCCTGCCCTACAGAGGACTAAGGTGGATGACTTGGGTTTGGGATTTCTACTTCTGCAGCAAATACTTAGTGGGGTGTGTTCCTGCCATGGGGGTGGGTGTGATCCTTCTAACTGACACAGCCTGTCCTTCTCACCAAGCACCAAGTCCCAGCCAGAACATAACTGGACAGAAATGTTGGCATCATTTTAGTTTTAATCATGTTCTTTCTTCTAACATGCTGGGATCTACTGAAAAGATCCTGTTCCCTTAAGTCTCCTGCAGGTGTGGGTGATGCAAAGAATACCTTTGTTGGGGATTTTGTTGTTTTCTATTTCTTTATTTATTTATTTTAAGGACAGTGTAAATTTCTGCAAATGGTGTTGGCTTTATTTGGGAACAACCCAGAGAAAGCATAAACAGAAATGCAAAGTTTTGCTCCAGTGTGCTTTTACTTTTCACCTTGAAATGGTGATTTGCTGCTCCCCTTGTCACGTCTGTGACTGGCAGCATCTGGCAGCAAGAGCCCTGGGCTATGGCAGTTCTCCCTGCTGTAGCCCACAGCCACATGGCGTTACCCAGAACAGGAATAATCTGGGAGTGTGATTTTAAATTGTGTTTTCTGCAGGTCATTGTCTATGGTGATGCTCCATCTCGGAGCATGGTGTCATGCATTGACATCAGCAGCACTGCAGCGCACTTGCTCAGTGATGGGGATTCAGGTTACACAGCTGTGTTTTCAGACTCTTGTATTTCGTGGCTTGGTGTCAGAGAAATCGATGCTTTTGGGATCACAGGGCTTACCTGTTTGCTAGTTGCCTATGTGCGTTTGGAAATCTGTTCCTAGGTGCTGATTAGGACCCTGAAGAGACTGTTGCACAAGGTTGCTGCCATGTGTGCAGCCCTTGCTGATCTTGCACTGATTTACAGTGGGTTGGGAAGTTCTTGCAAAGGTATTTGATATTGTGGCACCTGCGATAATTCCTCATCATTTGGTGGCTGTGTATTACATGAGAATTTTGAATGATAAAAATAAAATACAGAGGAAAAAAATTCTAGTCTTTACAATTAGAAAATCAGACTCTTTTTGAAACATGAACTAGTTATTTTCTAAGGGTTCCAACATGCAAGGGAATGTGAACTTCAGTTTTTCTTATAAAACATGAGATTTGAAAAATAATCAGTATCGTGAGTTTGGATCCTTACATAATTTGTAATTCAGGCCAGATCCTTCTTCAGTATCAATACCAAATGTGTGATGCCATTTGCATGAAGAAGAAAAGCTTTTACTCCTAAATTGAGAGCGTATCAGTTATCACTGATTATCAGTTGCCAATAAATACCAGAATGAAACATCAAGTTAAACTTTTCCTTCAATTAATCTGTTGGAAAAGAAAAACCATAAAGTTTCCATCAGAAGTCACTTCCAGTTGGCTAAAGACTTTCCTTTTCAACTACAAAGAGCCCAGTTTTGGATCTCACTGCATCCCGCTGTGGGTTGATGAGTTCCTTCAGCATCAGCCAGGAAAACACGTAAGGGATTTCTTTCCCTCTTCTGTTTATAGGGGAGAGTGGAAAAAGGGTCAAATATCTAAGTCTGCTATTAGAACTGCAGAAAAAAAAAAAGCAAGCATTTAGCTCATTGCACCTCAACATCAATATGCAACATTACTAGTGTTTTGAAAAGGTGATTTTCATAATTTTTCTAGCTACTTTAAGAAAAAAGAAGGCAAATGTTATTCTGTATAGAGGAAGTGTGTTCAGTTTTCAAGCTCTGAAGTCTGAATGTCTTCTGTTCATACCAAGTCTTCATGGAGCTGTGAGTGAATGATTGTAGCTCAGAAGCAGTTGTGTTACCGTGAGAACAACACACTGCATTGGTAAGCACATGTTTAGCACATCACTTAGCACATTGCTTAGGTGTGTATGGGGTTATTTTGCCTGTGGGGTGAGAGAGAAGCAGAGAGTAATTTCTTCCATGTTTTAAATAAAAAGGCTACTAAGAACAGCTTAAATTTTTTTGTTGTTTGTTAAAAAAAAACCCCACTCAAAACACAACCAAAAAACCTCTCTGCAGCTGGTTCCACTTCTTAACTTTCCAGTAGTGAGTGGCTTCATTTTTACATGAAAAAGCAGTTGGATGTTGCCAATGAATTGCATTTAATTTTCCTAAAACCTGAAAATCAATGGCATGTGATTGAGAAGATACAGAGGCGACCCTGTATCAGTCTCTTAGAAGACCTTGACATACACATGTTATTCTTGGAAGCCTTGCGACTTCAATATGCTTATATTCATGGTGAATTTTATTTGAATTGTAAGGTTCTGTGTGTCTGTATACACATATGTATGCATATATATACATACACATGTACACACACATCTTGAAATGTGACGCTTGATAATAAGGATTTTTTGTGTGATGGACATCTGTAATGGTAGGTGCATGTGTGAAGGCAATCTTGCATGTTACTGTTGAGATAAATTATGTACTTCTCAAAAAGTCTTTTCTTTCATGGGAAGCAAATTAACTTGACTATCTACATACAAAATTTGATATACTATATGCATTACTTACCATTTACCGCCAGAGCTGGCCCACTCCATGCCCAATTAGCTGCTCTAAGAATGATGTATGAATTGGCTTATTTTTGCCTGCGGCAGTGAATTATTAATTTATGTATAATTGGGAAGTGATAACTTAAATGTATGGTTGTTATCCTGTAGACTGGAGTGTACAGTCTGCCAAGAGTCTACAAGAGAATATATCCTTGTATGAAAATAGAGACATTCATCGTATCTTTCTTCCCAATGTAATTTCAAACAGATACAGAGTGTTTTTTAAAAGTTCCTTTTTTGTTAAAGTCCATTAAAATGCTTCATTCCTTTCATTGTACAACTGATCATCATTGGCTGCTTTTGCCTCTTGCCCTAAGGCTTCTTTACCTCCATGACAGGACTTGTACCCTGGCTCTCGGGCCAGACTGGGGGAAAGCTGGGGATAGTCCCTCCTGTCCGAGCCCAGTGGGGCACATGGGCCAGATGCTCGTGTCACTGCTGCTACAGGGACTCCGTGTGCTGTGCCAGGGGCATGGTGCTTGCA